TTCTATCCCCTAACCCTAAACCTACCCCTTACAGAAAACCTGTTTGCATTCTTACACTTTCACATAAACATCATTTACTATTTTTAATAATTTTCTCCTTCAGAATGTCAAAAATGTCAGGTTTTACTATCCTTGTGGGGACATTTGGTCCCCACAATGTACCATAAACAAGAACACACACACACACACACACACACACACACACACACACACACACACACACACACACACACACACACACACACACACACACACACACACACACACACACACACACACACACACACACACCTGTCTCTCTCTCTTTTTCTTTCTCTCTGTGTTGTTTGATTCTCACACACATTCTTCAGAACAAATGTTCTAAACTAAGATACTTTCACACTTGGGTTTTATGTTCTCAATCTCTCTCTCTCTCACTCGCTCTCTCACACACACACACACACACACACACACACACACGTGTACACACACACGCACTCACACACTCACACGTGTACACACACACACGCACTCTCACACTCTCAGAAGCGGGCTGGCGGCTCGTACACCCTAAACAGGAAATAAAGCGAGATGTAAATGAGGTGAGACAGAGGAAGAGGTTATGCATTCTAGAGTGTGAGTGAGTGTGTCAGTTTTTCTGCAGCAGTTAGCACACACACACACACACACACACACACACATGATCTGTGCGCTGCTGTGTGTGTTTGTGTGATGATGGATGTTCTGGAGATCTCCACACGAAACCCTCAGGATGACTTTGAGATTCTGCTGCGGGTCGGTGGAGGAACGTATGGAGAAGTTTATAAGGTACCTCACTCTCTTTTCTCACCGTTTCTCTCTTTCTGTTTCTCAGTCTGATTCACAGCTTTTAACGACAGGGGTTTATTAGAGGTGTGTAGGTATTTAGAGCAAAAGTTATGCTTCTCAGTTCAACTACTGTGTTGAAATAGTTTTGTGCTGTTTCTGGTAATTCTCTCACTTTCTGTGTGACATGAACGACAAACGAGAAACATTCAATCTGTTAATCACAAATACTTAGTTTGTTTCCTGCCTGTCTCTTTCTCTCTCTGTCTGTCTTTCATTTTTAAGGCTGCATTCATCCTCTGCCTAAAAATGTGTGTATCTCCTTTCACACTGACTCAGAGATGTGTGTGTGTGTGTGTGTGTGTGTGTGTGTGTGTGTACCTGCTTAACCATATTGTGGGACAAATTTGTACCCAGAAGTGAGCTAAACCTGGGAAAGAAACACCCCAAACCTCCTTTTAGGGATGTTAAACAGTATATAAAAAACAGCTGAAGTCCCCCTTTAGAGAGCTATATAAATGTATGTGATTGTACACTGTAAAAAATGATTTGGTTGCTTAGTATCCATGTCTTATTTTCAAGTACAAATATATAAACGTTCCTAAATCATCATACATTTACTTGAGAAGCCAAATGACTTAAGATAAGTCCAATTTTCTGAAAAATGTCCCAAAATGAAGTGAGTTTTTTCTTAAATCAAGAACAAATATATACCAATGAGGTCAGAAAAATAAACTTCATTCAAAGGGAAAACAATAGTGTTTTCTGACACCATTGTATAAAACAAGCCTTAAATATTGTCATTTTGCATCTCAAGTAAATGTCTTGATTTAAGAACATTTACATATTTAAACTAGAAGACAAGACAAAAAATACTGAGAAAGTACATCTATTTTGCAGAGCATTTACCTTATTTTATTACCTTATTAGGAACAAATAAGTTGTGTGTGTGTGTGTGTGTGAGTGGGTCAAAGTGCCACATCCTATGCAATGTTTCAGGCCTGCGAGGCCACATTGAGATTGAACGGTTAGTATTAATCAGCATCAGATCTGCCGGACTCAGAAGTGTGCAGGGCTGATAACAGGAGTGTGAGGTTGCTGAGGAAGCGGATGTGATTCCTGTCATTAAAGAGCTGCGGTGCTTCGACCGTAATGACCCGAGGCTGATCCTAACCCTCCCTAGTAAAAACGTAATGTATTTAAAATACATTTATTTCATACTAAGTATAGTTCAAATCTACTAACATATTTACTGACAGATAATTCGAGACTTACTGATATAAAAATTATAATTAAACTTTATTTGGAGTACTACTTGTGCACAATGCACATTTCTTAATATTAAGTCTAAAATGTGTTTTAATGTCACTTTTGATGAGGATTGTATGATCTTTGAATAATATCGGTCTTTAAATGCAAAATATTTAAAGTGTACCTGAAGTAAACTTGCAATAGTTACACTTCAGCATAATCAAATATACTAAGTATATCTTTAATTGGACTTTAGCACTACTTACGCACAATTAAAGTGCATTAAGTACAAAATTAGTTGTTCCAATTTAGCAGACTTTAAGTATACTAAAAGTACAATTGCAGTGTATTTCATTAAGTACATAAATATGAAAATGTATTTGTAGTATACTATATACTATATATTTCAAATACATTTAAGTATATTTATTTTTCACTAGGGCTAACCCAGCGTCCTGTAGAGAATGTAATTTACTGTAAAGCACGGCGCGTCTGTAGAGGAGCGTGTGGTTGTGAACGCGCCACATCGCTGCTTCCTCTTTCCTCTCAAAGCACCTTTGTGTGTGTCGATGTTTCACCTGTAGAGCTGATAAAGCACTCCAGCATGAGCAAACATGGCCAGCACTATTTCAGAGGAAAAGCATTAATGTGTTTCGTGTTTCACCATCGCTGTGTTTCGCAGCCGAGCAGCTGCCGTATGCATGCGGCCTTGTCTTCTTCTCCAGAGGAACACAGAATCGCAAAATACAAGATTTCATGAAGTCACTCGTGTCATTATTTACTCACCCAATCCCAATTACTTTCTCCTGTCGAGCACAAAAGAAGATGTTTAGGAGAATGTTCACACTGCTCTTTTACATACAGGCAAAGTGAATGTAGGCTAAACCCATACGCAAAAATATCTTCTTTTTTTCTGGCATTGTAAACAGTGAGGTTAAATGAAATATATTTTTGAAATTGAAAATATATTTAGTTTCAAATTTTATGTATCAAAATATATTTTAAAATGTATTTCAGGGGCAAGAAAAATACATTTCCAGTCTTACAATATAGCCTACATTTATTCTACATGCAAATTTGGGTGGAAAAGCCTACAAGAGATAAAAATAAATAAATACAATGTTATAAGCGTATTACATGTTCACAACAAATACAGTTTTTCTTCAAATGAGAAAAGTGAATGTAGTTTCGTGGATTGAAAATATATGGAGTATATGGATATATTTATATTTTCAAGATATGTTTTCAAAAATACACAAAAAACACATGGGAAGAAAATATATCTATATAAACATATTTTAGCACAAGTATTTTTGTATATTTTGAAATATATTTAATATATTTCAATATATTTTATTAATCTATTTGATTTGTATTTTTGCTGTATGGGATTGGATGCTGTTGACGTCTGAGAAGGATAAAAAACACTTTATTAAAGTTGCATAAGAGTCTGCATATCATACTGCATACTGACATTATAGGATAGTTTGCACGCTTTTTTAAAACCACTCACACACTTCAGGCATGTACAAACCAGCGATGTTTGACATTACTGAAGGTGAACCTGGTCAAACATTTCTGGAGGGGAAAACTTGACTTAAAAGAATAGCTCACTGACAAATAGTATGAATGCGAGTGACGACAGAATGATTTCTTAAAATATAGTGCACTAGTCATATGAACTATTGCTCTGACGCTTCTATGGTGCTTGAAAATCAACAACAGCTTGTTCACCTCCACTGTGTGTAAAGCAGCATGTTCACATGCATTAGATTCAATTCAACCTTGTTTTGTCAGAATATAAACCTGATCCAATGATCTGACTGTTCATTCTTCATTCATTCTTACTGTCTGTTAAACAGTCATTTACTTCATATATGTGACCATGCAGCACAAAAGCAGTGTTAAGTCGCTGGGGTATATTTGTAGCAATAGCCAACAATACATTGTATGGGTCAAAATTATGCATTTCTCTTTTATGCCAAAAATCATTAGGATATTAAGTAAAGATCATGTTCCATGAAGATATTTTGGGAATTTCCTACCGTAAATATATCAAAACGTAATTTTTGATGAGTAATATGCATTGCTAAGAACTTCATTTGGACAACTTTAAAGATGATTTTCTCAATATTTAGATTTTTTTGCACCCTCAGATTCCAGATTTTCAAATAGTTGTATCTCAGCCAAATATTGTGCTATCCTAACAAACCATACAGCAATGGAAAGCTGATTTATGCAGCTTTCAGAAGATGCATAAATCTCAATTTCAAAAAATTGACCCTTATGACTGGTTTTGTGCTCCAGGGTCACAAATGTCAAACAATATGTCTAATTCCATTCAGAATGTCATAAACTAAAATCATTAAGTTCAAATATGTCAAATAATGTCTCAAGTTGGTCAAGAATTTGAATCTGTGAATGTGTTTTTAAAAAGTGTCACTCTTTAACATCAGGACTGATCAAATCTGTTGATCTGTTCATGACCTAAAGAACCTGTTTGACACCAGCGGAGCTCACATGACTGCAGGTAACCGGTTGAGCTCGTTCCACAGCAGAAAACTCCACGCTTCTCTGCTATCTCTGAGTCTGAACAGACACACACACACACTCGTGACAGAGAAGCGCGGGAACCAGTGTTTGTGTGAGGTCAGGAGGGGGCGGGGCTGTGGAAGAGTCCCGCCCCCGCAGATGGTTCTGACCCACCCACACTGGCACACACACACACACACACACACACACACACACACTATAGAAATATACACTCTGTTGGGACACACACAGACACTCTTAAATTGCATATAAACACACATTCTGAAGACTTTTAATTCTCATAATGCTTTTAATCTTGAGCTAATGAGATTTTCTGTCACCTAAACCTAACCGTCTTTTTCTTGCATTACTAGATGAAAAGCTCTTTCAAAGATGAGGCTCTTTCTTGCTATTCTGTGGCTTTTGGACATCATGAAATGTAGAAAGTCAAACAGTTTTTACAATAATTATTTGTGTAATCATGATGTGAAACATCTGAAAAATGATTTTGGTCAAGCTCAGGCAAATAAATGTAAGCATTTATGAAGCAAAATCTATGCAATGGAAGTCCACCCTCAAAATCAAGGAATAAAACAATAACAGTTTGATTTGAAAAATGTGCGTTTTGTACATTATCTTCGAAAACTCGTGTTCCTTTGTCCATTTATCAAGTCAAGCTTATCTGGTAATAAACTATTAATAATATAATTTAACATCATTTGTTTTCAGATACAAATATAAAGAAGACATTCTATTTACATTATTGATACGTCAATATATCATTGAAACTGAATTATTAATATTACACACACACACACACACACAGTTGGCAGATTAAATTAACATTTATAGAACATTTATTGAGAACAGGATAGATAGATAGATAGATAGATAGATAGATAGATAGATAGATAGATAGATAGATCATACATATCTGGAACATTGGGATCAAGAAACTAATACACAAAGTAAATCACAATTCTATCGAACTCTAAAATCAAATGATGAATTGGAAGATTATCTCCAGAGTGTCAGAGACGGATCCTGAGCAAGTACAGGCTCAGTGAGCACAGTCTAGCCATCGAGACCGGCAGACACAGAAAGAGCTGGTTACCCAGAGAGCAGAGAGTGTGTGCTCACTGTGAGACAGGAGAGATCGAGACAGAGACGCACTTCCTCCTTCACTGTCATAAATACAGATCCATAAGAAACCTCTACTTCAACAAATTCACCAACTTAATAAAGAACTTTACAGCCATTAGTGAAACAGAACAAATAAAGATAATATTAGGAGAGGGC